TGCTATAACAAGTAATATGGTTGTTTTGTGTGCCTGCAAGTAATTTCTGACTCACGGCAACCCTATCATGGGGTTTCCTTGGCAAGATTTCCTCAGAGGGGGGTTACTTTGGATTTGCCTTCACATGAAGCCAAGGCCCCTTCTACACTGCCCTATATCTCAGGACCTGATCGCAGATTATCTGCTTTAAACTGGATTATATGAGTCTCCAACTATCAGATAATCAGGGATAAGGAGATAATCTGGGATCAGATCCTGGGATATAGGGGTAGTGTGGAAAGGGCCTGAGAGAGTGGGTTTCCATGGCCAAGTGGAGATTAAAACCCTGGTTTAAAGAGTCATAGCTCGACATTTAAACCATTACACCAATGAAGAATTGCTTCTAGTCATTATTAAGTGTGACTTGTAAGAGATTTCAAAGACCAGTCATGGGGTCCTTCTTCCTACCCACAAAAGTCATGAAAAAGCAGCAGCAACAAACGAATGTAATTAGTGACTATACAAATGCTGGTATGAATAACCACAGTACTTTGTTTTGTTAATGCTAAAAATAGTAAGAATTATTTAAAAGCAACTCTGAGTTCTGGAAGCTTTACAGTCTAAAGAAGGTGGGTAATTAATAATAATAATAATAATAATAATAATAGAAACAACTGGAAAAGCTGACACGATATGAGGATTTAAAGATCGAACTGCAAAGGGCACAAGCCAGTAAAGGTGGTCCCAGTGGTGATCGGCACACTGAGTGCAGTGCCTGAAGATCTTGGCCTGCACTTAAACACAATTGGCACTGACAAAATTACCATCTGCCAACTACACAAGGCCACCTTACTGGGATCTGCACACATTATTCGCTGATATGTCACACTCCTAGTCACTTGGGAAGTGTCCGATGTGTGATCCAGTACAACAGCCAACAGAGTGATCTTGTCTGCTGTGGACTCATCTTGTTGTGTTTCAAATAATAATAATAGTAATTATTATTATTATTATTATTATTATTATATTTTTTATCTCGCCTAATTAAAAAATTGAGAGTTACAAAGTAACATAGAGAAACAAAACAAGAAAATGATGGGAAAAATCAAAAAAGCATAATCAGGATGAGCGTACTTAGGCTAAAATGGTATGCTTACATCTATTCTTTTAACATCATGAAGCTGTGTCTGAAGTGTTTTGAAAACAATACTTTTGAGTGTAAATATAACAAATATAATTTGTTGGCAAAATTATCTCTATGCTATTATTAAAAGTATAAGACTGTCTTTTCCATGTGGCCACATTACTCATCATTGTAAGGAAGATCATACCCCACAACTCTTCCAATTTGGCAAGGACAGTTCCAATTCAACCTCTATTGTCCTGCTTTTTCAGCTGCTTTACAAATATCCTAGTTCTTCTCAGCTCCTCTCACATTCCTTCTTTGTATTATTTGAATGTAGTTTGCATTCAGTTAATTCAGTAGGGGAATAAAAGAGTGTAAAAGAGGGAGCAAAATCTTGCTATATCCAGTGGGCTCAGGCAAAAAAACCCCTGCTTGCTCTCCTAGCTTGTGTTCTTCCTCCACAATAATTTGTGTCCTTCCTCACACTCTGCTATTGTTTGCCCACACTAGCTTCATCACACTAGAGAAAAATAATCCACCTTAAATATGGTTTCTGCCTGCTGCAGAATTCTGGGGTTTGTAGTTTAGGGAGGAGCCTTTAACAGCCTCACTAAAACTAGAAATCCAAATCCCAGAATTCTGGCAGAGTCAGAAACTGGATTTTAAGTGGATTTTTTCTCTAGTGTGATGAATCCTATAGGGATTCTGTAAAATGATGGAACGTATAGGGGATTATGAGCAGATGACCTGTGTGCCTGCTATTAACAAGAATAGGGACAAGAAACACAGTAAGTCACTCCTTCTTGTGTGCTGGAGTTTGTGAACAGGACTACCATGAAAGTGAAAAACTATGAATAGGAAATTGCTAATTACGTTCATCTGGGAAAACACATCTTTAGAAATTTTTAAGTCCTCCAGACTCTATGGCTGACTTCAACTGGAAGCTGACCATAGAATCCTAGATCTGGAAAAGACCTCATGGGCCATCCAGTCCAACCCCCTGCCAAGAGCAGGAAAATTGCATTCAAAGCACCCCCGACAGATGGTCATCCAGCCTCTGCTTAAAAGTCCCCAAAGAAGGAGCCTCCACCACACTCCAGGGCAGAGAGTTCCACTGCTGAACAGCTCTCACAGTTTGGAAGTTCTTCCTAATGTTCAGGTTGAATCTCCTTTCTTGAGTTTGAAGTCATTGTCCCACTCCTAGTCTCCAGCGCAGAATTGCACTGGAGGACTTAAGAGATTTCTAGAAGAGTTATCTCTTTAGAAATCTCTAGGTCCTCCAGTCTGACCAGGAAAAGTTGACCACAGAATCATACTGGAGGACCTAAATTAAAAAGGAGAATAATCTTAATGTGCCTGAAGATAGACTATTTTTTTAAAAAAAAATATGCGTGTTGTCTTATATGCAAATTTGCCTCTGTCTCGATATTAATATCTTGGTAGAAATCTGAATTCATATAAATTTTTTCATTAACTAAACTGATAGGTAATATAGCCTGTTAAACGGCCCAGGCCCAATTTACCTGTCTGAACACATCTCTCCCTATGAACCATCACGGAGATTAAGATCCTCCAGGGAGGCCCTGCTTTCCGTCCCACCATTGTTATAGGCACGATTGGTGGGGATGAGAGACAGGGTCTTCTTGGTGATTGCTCCTTGGCTATGGAACTCCCTTCTTGGTGAGATCAGGTCAGCCCCCTCTCTCCTGTTCTTAAGAAGGATGGTAAAAAATTGGCTGTGGGACCAAGCTTTCAGGACAGGGCAATAAAGCAGCAATAGGAAAGATGACCAGGCCAATTAGATTTGATGCAGATGATTAGGATGGTTTTAAATGGTGCATTTTAATATTCTGATAAATGTTTTTTAGTGTTTATGTATTGTATGTGAATTTGTGTCCCGGCATTGAATGTTTGCTGTGTATATGCTGTGCTCCGCCCTGAGTCCCCTTCAGGGTGAGAAGGGCGGAATATAAATGTTTAAAATTAATTAATTAATTAATTAATTAACTGGCTGTGCATGTGCCAGACACACTGATGGGCAACTTGGAAAGCCTCTCTTCTTGCTCCTTCTATTGGTTTGGGCAGGATGACCCTTCAAATGGCTCTGTGAAGAAGGAAAGGACATGGACACCCCAACAGAATCCTGCCTATCATCCTCTTTCCTTGATGAGCTGCAAGCCTCTAATTAATCCCTATTAGCAAATTGTTATTAGGAACGTAGTCGTAGTCGTTCAAGGAAAGAACACAGATCCACGTGCAGCACTTTGCCCAGCTAGACAAAGACTGTTAAGGGGGAAGGGGGATTCCAAGAATGCTTGGAATCTGCAAGGAACAGATAACTAATTTCCTGAGTTTTCCTGAGTAGGCCCAGAGCTTGGGCTCATTTGTAAGCTTTTCTTTGTTCAAAGAAAGTTGGTTAACTGAGGGTTGTTCATTCACAGAGAAGGCTCAAGGGGTGGGAATAGTGAGAAGGGTTGCCAGCTTCTTTTCCCTTCCACTAGTCTGTGTTTTTTAAGTTGCCTGAAAACTGCAGTTGAACAAAAGCTTCACCTGGCCTTGTAGCCTCTTGCTTCCCCACCTGTTGACTCTGCTGATGAATTTATCTCCATCCGGTATCAGACCTATTTGCAAAATGATTAGGTTGTGATAGGAGGCAAGACAGAACAAGTTCTTAAAAATCTCATATGGGAGGTTGATCACCTCCAAAGATTGGGAAAGTTACTTTTTTTAGACTTTCTATTCCACTTTCACCAAACTTTAGTCCAAAAAATGTGACTTTCCTGTGCTCTGTCTGTCTCAGGGTTTTGTATCTAGAGGGCCAACTGATGAACAGGAATCAAAGTGACCTAACCTTACAGATTTGTTGTCAAGTTTGACCCAGTTAAGGTTTGTAATTGCCTTATCAGGCACACTAGAGATTGCTGGGTTAATACCATAGCAAATTTGTTAACCACCTCCAGAGAGAGCTTCTAAAAGTTATTTTGGTGAACCAAAACCATCTCAGAGGTTAGATCGTCCAGGGAGGCCCTGCTCTCCCCACCCCCTTCGTAGGCATGACTGGTGGGAACGAGAGACAGGGCCTTTTCAGTGGTGGCCCCTTGGATCTGGAACTCCCTCCCTAGTGAAATTAGATCAGTTCCCTCCTGTCCTTCAGAAAAAAGCTAAAACGTGGTTGTGGGACCAAGCTTTCAGATAGCAATCTCCCAGTGCAATAAATGAATATGGAATAGTGCAATGACAATTGGAATGGCCTTTAACTATGGTATTGGATTATGTGATTTGCATAAGTAATTTTAATGTTTGATATGCTTTTAGTAATTGGTTTTAATGTATTTATTTTCTATGATGTATAATTGTGTGGCATCGAATTGTGCCTTATATGTTAGCCGCTCAGAGTCCCCTTCAGGGTCAGAAGGACAGGGTATAAATATGGCAAATTAATCAGTCTGGGTTGTTGTAGGTTTTTTGGGGGTTTTTTTTGGTCTCACAACCTCTGAGGATGCTTGCCATAGATGCAGGCAAAACGTCAGGAAAGAATGCTTCTAAAACATGGCCATATAGCCCGAAAAACCTACAACAACCCAGTGATTCCGGCCATGAAAGCCTTCGACAATACATCAATCAAACTCCCAGAATCCTCCAGCTAGCATGGCTGGTAGAATACACAGCATGTTGTTGCAGCTGGAGGATTCTGGGAGCTATAGACCACAACAGTGACTTTCTCAAGTTTCAAAGGATAGGACTTCATTGTAGGTTGCACACACTGGAAAGCAGCGCTCCAAAGCTTTGTAAAAGCATGGGGTGAGGAAACTGTTGGGAGCAGGACGCCTAGTTGCCAACAGTTGATCTCCTTGAACTTTGAACATAGCAATCAAATTATTGTTCCTCCCTCCAGGTCAAACCAAATCTGCCAAGATGTCCAGCAAGCGAGCCAAGGCGAAGACCACCAAGAAGCGTCCTCAGCGTGCCACCTCCAATGTCTTTGCCATGTTCGACCAGTCACAGATCCAGGAATTCAAGGAGGCTTTCAACATGATAGACCAAAATCGTGATGGGTTCATTGACAAGGAGGATCTGCATGACATGTTGGCATCTCTTGGTAATAAAGCAACTTTGTGGTCCATGCTCTTTCAATGGGTTTCATGTCCAAGAAGAGTTTTGAACCCTAGTCTCTAGAGTTGTAGTCCAACCCTAAACTACTATACCACACTGGCTCTCTGGGAGGATTTTAGTTAAACTCAAAGTGAATAAGAAAGCTAAAACAGCTAGTCTTCAGATGTGACTTTCTGGGTCCTGATTTTGCTAAGCACTTTTACATGTCCCTTCTTCCCATCAGTTCTGTGGCCAACTCACAACAATGGAAAAGTTCTGGGATTTTCAGGGCCAGAAAATTTATACAGATTATAAATAAATGTTGTGGAGAAAATAAGTCAACTGAAACAACAGTTGTGTGAAGTAAACAACTGAACGAATGAAAAGGCATAGTATAGTATAGTTGAAAAGTAGTAAGTTAATACAAAGCATGTAATAGAAGAACTGCATTTTTGTAGAGGACCACTAGAGGGCAGCTTGTGGCTGTACACTTGGAAATAAGCATATGGATTCTTTTTCCTCCTGGTTTAAAGTTGAATTACTGAGAAGTAATTCAGTCAGAAATGGGAATCCTGCAGACATGCACTCAGTCATGTAGAGCAGACTGGGATTTCCTCCTGGTTTATTTGCAAGTCATACTGACTTGGCCGTTTTTCTCCCCCAGGGTTGCTTTGGTTCCCCTCCAGCCTGCCATTCCTGATTTGCTACTTTGCAGATTTCTGACTAATCATGTTAATTTCCTCCGCCATATCCCCAGGATCTACTTTTATGGGCAATTTATGGGGAAGGCTTTTAGCAAGAGGAGCATTCACCTTTGTTTGAGAGGACAAGCTAACAGGGGCATTTTATTGCCTTCGCTTAGCTGGGCTACAGTGTGATGTTTATATTCTGGTTTCTATTACCGATCCCCTTGTAGATAGAAAGGAACAAATCTTACACTGCTAGGATATGTGTGGATATGCTTCAAAGTCACCTTTCAACTTATGGCAATCCTATGAATTTCACAACATTTTCTTAAGCAACAAATAGCTGTTTTTGCCAGTTCCACTGAAATATAGCCCGTGGCACCTGGTATTCTTTAGGGCAGTGGTTCTCAACCTGTGGGTCCCCAGGTGTTTTGGCCTACAACTCCCAGAAATCTTAGCCAGTTTACCAGCTGTTAGGATTTCTGGGAGTTGAAGGCCAAAACAGCTGAGGACCCACAGGTTGAGAATCACAGTTCTAGGGGTTCCCCATCTGAGTACTAACCAGTAGCCAGACCTTGAAGCTGAAAGGCTATTCAATGCTAACCAAGGTGGCCAATTGCAATAGTCACACCTCAAACAGACAAGAGTTCTTCCTCCCACCCTGAAAATTTCAAAGATAAATAAACCCCAATTGCCTCGTTTCCAACAGACCTCACAACCTCTGAGGATACCTGCCATAGATGCAGGCAAAACATCAGGAAAGAACGCTTCTTGAACATGGCCATACAGCCCAGAAAACTCACAGCAACCCAGTGATTCTGGCCATGAAAACCTTCAACAGCACAGCTTAGTTTAGTTTCCAGGATCACAGGAAACGTATGCCTTTAGGATATTTAGACATTCACTTCTAGGATATAGGTAGCCACATTGAGCTGAGCTAAACATGCTATCAATTTTTAATATATATATTTTCCCCTAATCCTCTGGATTTTTTTTCTGGTAAGCAAAAATGTTATCCAATAACTGCATTCTGTGAGCCTAAGGCAAACCTATCCCAGAGTTTTGTTGACATGATTTGCTCAGAGGAGGTTTGCAACTGAGAAAGTGTGACTTGCCCAAGGTAATCTGGTAGGTTTCATGTTTGAGTGGGGATCCATATCCTGATCCTCCAGAGTCATACTCCAATGCTGAAAATGCTACATATTTATTTAGTCAGGGGTGATTGCATGCCTGGTGTAAATATCTTCCTGTTGGCTTTATCAGTACTGTTGTATGTAGTTTCATCTTCTCCAGTCACAATCTGTGAAGGTAATGCAATAAATCTTCAGCAGGGATTGTAAGACTGAGCCCTCAAGAACCAAGGGCATGGAAGCCAAAAGCTAAGTCTTCACCTACTTGCATTTTTCAGGGAAGAACCCCACTGATGAATACTTGGAAGGCATGATGAGTGAAGCACCTGGACCCATCAACTTCACCATGTTCCTCACCATGTTTGGAGAAAAGCTGAATGGAACTGATCCAGAGGATGTCATCCGCAATGCTTTTGCCTGTTTTGATGAGGAGGCCACAGGTATGCATGCCATCCCTCTATGGAAATGTTAATTTTTTGAACTATGCCTTTCAGAATCCCCCAACTGCCATATGGGAGATATTGTTGAAACAGTAAGATTTCCCCACCTCTGTTCCATTGCAACTCAAGTTCTCAGATCAGCTGTGTTGGTGAAGAATGCATCTAACTAGCATCTGAAAAATGGGTTTTTTGTTCCTATCACCTCACTTAAGAAAGTAGATGTGTTCCTGGGCATTACTTCTTGAACAGAAAAGTTTGCTGCAATCTGTCCTTTGTGTCTGGGAAGATGTCCAAAGCTTAATGCCTTCGCTTAGTTTCTCCCCGTTAGATGTAGCATCATTCCAATTAGAACGACTGTAGTTCTGTTCTGAGTAATCATTGGATCAAAACTTGAGCAAACTTCTTTGATCTCCCCTTTTTAATTGTAAAGTACCTTCTCAACTTCTATTATCCAAACTTCAATGCCACAACTCTTTGTGCCCAAAGATTTTTCCTGGTGCATCAAGTCAGTTACTATAAATCTGCCAACCAGCTACTAGTATTAACTGGAAGCAGAGAACATTAAGATGTTTTTGGCTTGAGAAATTACGGTTCAAATAAAAAGTTCAACCATGTATCAAGGAATCAAATAGAACCAATTATTTAAAAAATCTAAAAATTAAAAAGACTAAAATAGTGGGTTGCTGTAGGTTTTTCGGGCTATATGGCCATGTTCTAGAAGCATTCTCTCCAGGCGTTTCACCTGCATCTATGCCAAACATCCTCAGGACGCTTGCCATAGATGCAGGCAAAATGTCAGGAGAGAATGCTTCTAGAACATGGCCATATAGCCTGAAAAAACCTACAACAACCCAGTGATTCCAGCCATGAAAACCTTCGACAATAGACTAAAATAGTGTTTTGGAATAATGTTAATTCTAAACATTTTCCCCTTGCCATATTTAAGTTTTACATTGTAACCTTGCTGTTTAAGAAAAGCCATACAACAGTAATGGAAAAAATGAAAATGATCTTTTCACACAAAATGTTTTTTAAAGCTGTGTTTCTGTATTATTTCATAGCTGGACAGTTGTGAGATAAGCTCTTATTTTCAAAGTTTATTTTCCTGAGAAAATGTTCTGAGTATTGTGTTATCTTCAAACTTTCCTCATTAATTCCATCCCAAAGGAGTAAGTCATTCTTATCCCATCTCTTATCTACCATCCTCAAGGATGCATCCTCGCTCCTCATTAAGTTCAGTTCAGCTGCAAAAATACATCATGGCATTTGTGAACCAAAGGTGTTCTTCTTTTCCTCACAACATCTCCAGGTGTTGGCAGGCCTCTTCCTTGTTCACTATACACCAGAATCTAAAATGGAAGGTGCTTGTGTTTTGATGACTTTGCATAAGCAACTATTGGTTGCATAGAATGTTAAACTAAAATAGGGCTTTTCTTTGACCCAGCATGGGCCTTATTATTGTCTTTGAAAATGAGTCCAAGTAGCACTTGGGCAAAAAACGTTTTCATTTAACACTGCCTGCTTAACTCCAATCTCGAATGTGTAAATTATGAGTGCATGAACACTACAGAATTAATGTCATTTGATACTCAATTGCTATGGCTCCATGGTATAGAATCATTGGTGTTGTAGTTTTACAAGGTCTTTAGCCATCTCTGCCAAAGAGAGCTGGTATCTCACCAAACTACAACATGGCAATTAACGTAGTGTCTAGTTGCATCAATTCTGCAGTTGTAGATGCACCCTGAGAATCTATTTAATGCTGAGGCAACATTAGCCTCTTTCATGATATTTATCCATAGGTCCAGGGGGGGAATGTCTACCAATTTGTGACTGTGGATCAAGTTGTACCTAAAGCTATGTAGAAGCCATTCCACAGCCAGGAATTGGATTACCTTCCCCCTTTTGGTTGTACAATTCTTTACAAGGAACTATGCATTATTGCTGGGATGAAATAAACATGGGTGGTAATCTCATAGTCCTTCAGATTTTCTTGGTCTCCAGTTCCTACCAGCGTTGTACAGGAGTCCCTGGTGGTGCAATGGGTTAAACTCTTGTGCCAGCAGGACTGCAGACCAAAAGGTCGGCGGTTTGAATCCTGGGAACGTGGTGAGCTCCCATCTGTCAGCTCCAGCTTTTCATGTGGGGACATGAGAAAAAGCCTCCCATAGGATGGTAAAATATCTGCGCATTCCCTGAGCAACGTCCTTGCAGACAGCCAATTCTCTTACACCAGAAGCAACTTGCAGTCTCTCAACTTGCTCCTGACACACACACACACACACACACACACACACTCAAACCCAAACAAACCCAACCTTGTCCAGAATAGCAAATAGTGAAGAATGATGGAAATTCTTAAAAATATATAAAAATCTGATGAAACACAGTTGCCCACCCCTGATATGAACAAAAGAACAGTACAAGATGAAGGTTGTCTCTCTGCTCTAGCTACTCCCACTGCTTCCCATAGAAATTACATCCCTCAAAGCTACTTTTCAGGGTTTCCAGAACTCTTAATCAGACAAGGTGGTAAACACAGGAAAAGCGGAGGAGTGACTCTTCTTCAAGTTTGAATTCATTGCACTTTTAAGATGGAACATGAGAAGACACTATGCAGACATTCAAATTAGAATCTGCCAGATGCTGAGACGTTCTCGGGTTGCATTTAGGACATTCCTAAGGCTTATTGAGGAAGAAAAAAGGAGGGTGCAGGTTGGATGGTTGAGCCCCCACCCCCTCACTATAAAATCCAGGCATTACTCATTATAATGGATTCCTTTAAAAAATGGTAGAAGAAAACTGGGAGTTTGGAAGTGAATGATATGAGCTCATTGGTTTTGCTAGTGGGTTATATTTTTAAAAAGAAAACTAACTATATTTTGTGCAGTGCACACATTGGTTAAAAGAAGCTTCAGTGCCACAAGGAGAGAACGGTTCAGGTTGGAAATCAGTTTAGTGCTGGGGAGAAAGTCTCTATTTTTCTAGAGTATGTCTCCCAAAATCTACTTGGCTAGCTTGGCAGTTGTCTATTCTGGTTGTGAAATCGTAATTCAAAAAAGTAAGTTACAGTTCTAAATAAATTAATGTGGTTGATCACAAAGCATAGATGAAGATCTGAGACAAGAGTGAAAGCTTTGAGTGACTATGCTGTAGCCCTGAGCTGTCTCTTCTATCTCCCCAGAAGCTGGTAGATGCCCATTCCAATTATTTTGGACTATTGGCCATGCTGTCTGGGACTGCTCAGAGTTGGAGCCCAATGATAACTATAAGTCCAATGATTTTTCCCTTCTATTCTCAATGCTAAATTCCAAAATTAGAGCAAGCATATCACTTCTTGTCTAAAAGCAAGGAGATTTTTTGGCAACTCCTAACTAAAAGTCCTAATTAAAATGTCCTAAGTGTATAAACTTCTCTAGACATTTGTGTTGTGTATCCTGTTTAATACAGTATCCTGTATTTTGCTCATTACTGATAACAAAGAATCCACACATCACAGAGACCTTGAACATTAGTTTTCTAGCTTTGTTCCTCATCTATTTATTGGTGCCAAGGGAGGAAGCTTTATCTTTCTATGCTTTTCATTCATATAGTTCAGATATTACCCAGAACACTTTGCCAAAAGCATTTTCAGTTGCTTTCCTCTCATCTTCCAGAATAAGATATTGCTGAAGGAATAAAAGTTAACAGTTTCCCAATAGCCTTCCAAGTAATTCTGATAAACTAATAATTTCCCTAAAATCCAGGAAACCCCTTTTCACAAAGCTGTGATCCTGTGTGGAAAATTTTTCTGCCAAATTGGACAAGGAGAAAAAGCCAGCAAGAAACAGAGTTTGGAAAAATTAACTCTTTTTTGATTTCCCCAGTCAACATTGCAACAATCCATATCAGTTAGGGGATTTAAGGAGTCAAAAGAAATAAATTGCCATGCTCTATCAATGGTGGGTTTCAGAATGCTCTTTGATTGTAGGTGAACTATAAATCCCAGCAACTACAACTCCCAAATGTCAAGGTCTATTTCCCCCAAACTCTCCTAGTGTTCACATTTCAGCGTATCGATATTCATGCCAAGTTTGGTCTTTGAATCCACAGTACTCTCTGGATATAGGTGAACTACAACTCCAAAACTCAATGTCAATGTCCACCAAACCCTTCTGTTGGTCGTGGAAGTTCTGTATGCCAAGTTTGGTTCAATTCCATTGTTGGTGGAGTTCAGAATGCTCTTTGATAGTAGGTGAACTATAAATCCCAGCAACTACAACTTCCAAATGATAAAATCAACCCCCCACCCCCACCCCACCAGTATTCAAATTAGGGTAATTGTGCCAAATTTGGTCTACTGAATAAAAATACATCCTGCATATCAGATATTTACATGACAATTCATAGCAATAGCAAAATTACAGTTATGAAGTAGCAACAAAAATAATTTTATGGTCTGGGGTCACCACAATATGAAGAACTGTATTAATGGGTCGCAGCATTAGGAAGGTTGAGAACCACTACTCTAGTAAGAAATGATTCATGGCACCTAAGAAGGAACCACCTCAGTTTATCTTATAATATACCATTCTTGAAAATAAATGCTCACCAGATCTATCTAATGCATGTTTTTGAGCTGTCTTTCCTTCTTCTTTTTCCTTCTTTCTGACTATCATCTCTCATACAGGCTTCATTCATGAAGACCATCTGCGTGAACTTCTCACTACTATGGGTGACCGGTTCACAGATGAAGAGGTTGATGAGATGTACCGAGAGGCCCCCATTGACAAGAAAGGCAACTTCAACTATGTGGAGTTCACCCGTATCTTGAAGCATGGAGCCAAGGACAAAGATGATTAAAACCAAAAGAGATTCCAACTTCTAGGTCACCCTTTTAAGATCTTAATCCCCTTGCTCTGCCTTAAAAATGCCTGTCAGAATGGGCTAACCTGAAAGGGATATGTTTATAAACTTGAAGCCAAGCCCTGATCTAAACGAAGGAAAGGCTTGCCACACATTCACATATGTTACACATGGATCTGAGCTGATCCTTTTTAAAGCTACTCCTCAATTCTGTACATACAGAGTAAATTACAAGTAACCTCACTTTTCCAAAGTGTAGCTGCAGATATGATTGCAGTGGAATGGAGAAACTATCTGGCACTGCCACCAGACCATTCAACACTGTCCAGCTGCTTCATATAACTACATAGGAATGGATCCAAGGGCTGGTGGGAGGCACTATAGAGATGGCCATTTGAGGCTTTACGTAGATGACTAATGTCTCTGTTGTTGACAATATATATTACAAATACAGCACTTCTAAACTTGCAATGTGACTTATGATCTGTACACAGTTGTTATTACTATCACTACTACCATCACAAATCTATTAGATAAGGCATTGTTCTTCCCATTTTTATATTTATCCTACAGAAGTCAAAATCAAGACCACACTCTTCAGATCCCAAATCAAACTCTTAATATATGTGCTGGATGATGTTGGCCTTCACCTTCCCTGAATGTACTGAATCCATTCAAACATCAATAGGCTATCAGTCCAACCTTGGTTCCCTAGGGGTATCCAGCTTGGTTGAGATGGATAACTCCATTTTGCACTTGCATATTTTGGAGAAAAGAACATCTCTCCATCAGAATATCTGCAGAAATTCTCTTGTGTTGTTGAAGGCTTTCATGGCCAGAATCACTGGGTTGCTGTGAGTTTTCCAGGCTGTATGGCCATATTCCAGAAGCATTCTCTGCTGGCCTTTCACCCACATCTATGGCAGGCATCCTCAGAGGTTGTGAGGTATACTGGAAAATAAGCAAACACCTCCCAACAAAAGATTTCCCCAGGCAGGAATCAGCCAGGCCTTGAAGCTGCAAGGTTTTGCAATGACAATCAAGGTTATTAATTGCATCATTCACACTTGCCTCCAACAGACAAGAATTCTTTCTCCCACCCTGGACCTTCCACAGATATATAAACCTCCCTTACTTAGTTTCCAATATACCTCACAACCTGTGAGGATGCCAGCCGTAGATGTGGGCAAAACATCAGGTGAGAATGCTTCTGGAACATGGATATACAGCCCAGAAAACTCACAACAACCCAAAAATTATTTCTCCCGCCTTCCTACATGCATCACATACCACACACACCAATACCCTTTTACCAATGAAACAATGATCCTCTTGCCCTAAATTCTTGTTGGCCATACATTTGGATCATATAGTGTTAGTCATAAATTAGATTATGGATCCATGAAATTCACAGTCCTTGCTCACCTGATCTACTTAGGTCCTAAATAGAGTGATTTTATTTCTTTTTGGTTAGCTGAAAAAAAATTGGGCAGGAAGTGCATAAGAAGTAAAATTGCACTTACATTGATCCCAAAAAGAAGGTTATTCAGCATTTTAAAAGTACACATTTTTGCTATTTCAGAGGACCTTTTATACCTATTCCTGCTGGTATCTCCACTTGTGAAATCAGAATGTAGCCTCAGCCATACAGTTGTTTTTTGACAGTTAAATCAAAGATTTTTGACACAAGGAGCAAAGAAATTAATCTGAATATAAAGAATATAATAAAATATGTTCTCGTTCTATATGTGGATTCTTTCATCATTATTTGCCATTTTATATATTTATTACATTTTCAAATCACTAAATGACAACAGTGTTTGCAGGTGGTCTACAAACTACAAACATAAAATATAGAGCAATTATAAAGCAAGGGTGGCCCTTGTGGTCTCTTCCAATTCTATGTTTCTATGAAATGTTAAAGCCCTGTGCTTTAAACTACTAGCCTTCCTCTGGGTCCTTCTGCACAGCCCTATAGCCCAGAATGTTGTTGTTCATTCGTTCAGTCATCTCCGACTCTTCGTGACCTCATGGACCAGCCCACGCCAGAGCTCCCTGTCAGCCGTCACCACCCCCAGCTCCTTCAAGGTCAGTCCAGTCACTTCAAGGATGCCATCCATCCATCTTGCCCTTGGTCGGCCCCTCTTCCTTTTACCTTCCCCTTTCCCCAGCATAATTGTCTTCTCTAGGCTTTGCTGTCTCCTCATGATGTGGCCAAAGTACTTCAACTTTGTCTCTAGTATCCTTCCCTCCAATGAGCAGCCGGGCTTTATTTCCTGGAGGATGGACTGGTTGGATCTTCTCGCAGTCCAAGGCACTCTCAGAACTTTCCTCCAACACCACAGTTCAAAAGCATCTATCTTCCTTCGCTCAGCCTTCCCTAAGGTCCAGCTCTCACATCCATAGGTTACTACAGGGAATACCATGGCCTTGACTATGTGGATCTTTGTTGCCAGTGTAGCCCAGAATATCATGGCAGAAATCCCACAATATCTGCATTGAAATAGGTTTTCTGAGTTCAAACTGCCATATATTCCAGTTCAAAGCAGAAATTGTGGGATTTTGTTCAGATGTGTAAAAGGGGCCTTAGTCTCATATGTGTAGAACTGCACGGTGTAAACCAAAGGTAGCAAAACGTGGTTTTTCAAATATTGCTAGTTTGTAACTCCCATACCCAGGATTGAGGAGTTATAGGTACTACAGTCCAACAGCATTTGAAGAACTGCAGTTTTCTACCTCTTTTGTGATCCAATACAACAGGAAATTATCAGGTTAGGGAAGGCTGTTTTGTCCCACCAAAAACCCATCGAAGAGGAAGACATACAGCTCTATACCTTGATCCTGAAAGCTAAGGAAGGCAGACCAGTTTAGCACTAGAATGGGAGAACAATTCCAGCAAATACCAGGTGCTATGGGCAATATTCCAGAGGAAGGAATTGACAAGATGATCTCTGCGTACTCCTTGCCTAAGAAAATCCTGTGCAGGGCTGGCATAAATAAAAAAGAAACTTGCACATACATGTATACATAAAAATAACCTCTTCTGCCTGGTCACTGATTTATGATGACCCAAAGGCATACCTATATGTGGTTAAACAACTGAGCTGCTGAATTTGCTGACCGAAAGGTCAGCAGTTCGAATCTGGGGAATGGGGTGAGTTCCTACTGTTAGCCCCAGCTTCTTCCAACCTAGCAGTTCGAAAACATGCAGATGTGAGTAGATCAATAGGTAATCTGACTCACATAGCCATATAGTGTTAAAAGATAATGAGGTTGGTTCAACTATGCAGCTACCTCTAGCTGGTTGGTGTAGAAAAGAGTTAATCTCAGGGCTCCAAGTTCAGAAGGATATAGAGTAGCACATCTGGATTCAACATCAAACACAATTAGACTGTTGATGGATGAACAAAGCAAAGGCCGCAACAGAAATGCATTTTAAAGCAAGGCAAGCAACTATAGGTACAACTCTGATTTTCTTTTTTTGGATTATGAAGGTTACTGAGTTATAAGTGGCACAGACACATGCAATTGCATGTTTTGTAGATTTGTATTACTATCAAGCAAAAATACATAGTTTCTAGAACTAAAATATGTGTGTGTTGTGTGTGTGAGAGAGATTACTCTAGCTAACAAAATTTGAAAAAAAATTGTGTTACTGTTTTGAAAGTGTTATTTCCTGTTTAATTGTGCGGTACCTCTTTTGAAAATAGGAGCCCCTGGTGGCGTAAAGGATTAAACCCTTGTGTCAGCAGGACTGCTGACTGAAAGGTCGTCGGTTTGAATCTGGGGAGCAGGGTGAGCTCCTGTCTGTCAGCTCTAGCTTCTCATGCAGGGACATGAGAAAAGCCTCCCACAGGATGGTAACACATCCAGGCATTCCCTGGGCAACGTCCTTGCAGGCACCCAATTCTCTCACACCAGAAGCAACTTGCAGTTTCTTAAGTTGCTCCTGGCCCCCCCAAAAAACTTTGAAAATAATTGTTATACTCCAGAAACTTTGTTTTTGTTGCTGCCACAAACTATTTTGAATTGGTTGAGACTCTATAAGATATTCATTGACAATTATAGCAATATATACTTCAGTATGTCCCACAAAAACAAAGTTTTTGCAGTTTAATAACCCTTTCCCTTGTTTTTATGATAGAACCAATTAGGAAATTACATTTATAACCCAGGAACAAAAATCGTGTTGCATAGTATTGTAATAATTTTTTCCTTCAAGATTAAAAAAAATTAATCTTTCCCAAATTTTATTTTAATGGGTGCTGTTTGATTGAAGAGAGGAAAAAGTTGAGTATGAGGAAAGCATGGAATTTGGTGAGCTGATGCTTAATGCTAAAATTACTTTACATTGAATTTAAGATTTAACTTTAATAATTTGTCAGTACTTGTCTTGATTTTAAAAATGAAAATAAAACTTTGCTAGTTTCCAAAACTTTACTTACCCAACAAACCAAGATCTCTGTAAAACTCCACAGAACAATTGCAATAGTTTTCCTGGATTCATTCTTCTTTCATGGGAAATTCTTTTGTAAGGACTGCAAATGGAGAATTAACATGTGGTAAGTTGGTGAATTCATTCCTCCTTGAATTCAGTCCATCTCAGCAGCTGATTTGCTTGGGGAAGCTGTGGTTGAATCAAGATGTAAATGCCCTTCAGGGTTTCAAGTGAAACTTTACAAAAGGCGCTATCTGCAAACCATTTACTGAGAGGCACATGATGTGACTGTGCCTTCACAAAAGGAATGCAGAGACTATGGTTCCCCAAATAGATAAGTTTGAAGTGGGCGTATGCAGGCAAGCGGTTGAAGCATTTTGAAACATTTCGTGGGAGGAACTCATACTGCCTGTTAGAAACCAAAGTCATACTTTTGGGGGATTTAGGGTGTTGTAGTCCAAAAGGTAATTGATTTTAATCGTGGTGCTACATGGGGCTGTTTTCTGATCACTTGGCTGTAGCTGCTGGGCAAGATTACTTTGCTCGTAAGCATTTAATAGAATTTTTACAGGCCATACCTAGGAGCCTCCTAGGTCATGTGGCCGGCATGACTGCATAGGAGCCCTTGGTGGAGCAGCAGGTTAAACCGCTGAACTGCTAAACTTGCTGACCGAAAGATCACAGGTTCAAATCTGAGGAGCGGGGTGAGCTCCCACTGGTGGACCCAGCTTCTGCCAACTTAGTAATTCGAAAACATGCAAATGTGAGTAGATCAACCACCTTGGTGCTCCATGCAGTCATGCTGGCCACATGACTTTGGAGGTGTCTATGGACAACACTGGCTCTTCATCTTAGAAATGGAGATGAGCACCAACTCCCAGAGTTGGACACAACTAGACTAAATGTCAGGGGGAACCTTTACCTTTTGAATGTTGAAATCATTTGGGCTGAATGGGCTTAGAAGCAAACACTAGCATTTGTAGACTTGAGTAGATTTAATCAAATACATGATAAAGTATTCAATTAAATCTACTCAAGTCCTCAAATACTAGTGCTATAAATTAAAGTGGGACAAAATTACTTTTTCCAACTACAAGTCGCACAAATTCTCCAGCTAATCCTGTCACCTTAACAGACCTGAATGAGGTCTGTTAAGGTGCAGTGTTGACCCCAGGCTTTGGAACTTGGTTGGGATTGGGATGGGTCCGTCTTCATTTCCTATCTGTCATCATATTAATACTTTTTTGATTATGATAGGCACTTAGGAATGGACTGAAAGGGCTTTAAATAAGGTTTGTCGCATGCAATTTTTGTCTTTGACTTTTTAAGAGGTTTGTTTTTAAAGGTTTTTAATTCTAAAGATAGATTGCTTGCTCTTTAACAAAACTTCTTTCACCTTTTCAATCATGCATTTTTTTAAAAAAATCTGTATTTCACTTGCAAATCATCTTGGGAGAAAGATGGGATTTAAGGAAAATATGAACCACCATAATTTTGATGCCATATTATGCCAATTACAACTCATTGATTCCTAGTTTTTGGGCAGAATACCAAATTGTTGACAGTTCAAACCATCAAGTGTGCATCTACATTGTAGAATTAATCCAGTCTGACATCACTTTAACTGACAAAATGCTATACTGTAGAATCCTGGGAGTTGTAGTTTTACAAGGTCTCTGCCAAACTGTGCCTCACCAAACTACAACTCCCATTATTTCACTGTATTGATCCTACAGTATAGATTCACCCCTTATCAGTAGACAGTACAGATTATGATAATTGTAGTGACTAAGAAATAACATTTTCAATGTGTTAAAATCTGTTAATGTGCCAGAAGATTCCTTTGTTATTTTGGGGACAAATTATGGGGCTCATGATGAACTGGAATAATGACCTTATGATTTAAAGTGTTTTGAGAGACATATTATTTCTCTTTGTGGAAGTACACACATAGAATTATAGAAACATAGATCAATAGAGCTGGAAGAGACCACATGAGCCATCTACTCCAACCCTCTGCCATGCAGGTAAAGCACAATCAAAGCAGCCTTAACAGACGGCCATCTAGCAAACAAGTTCTGCAGAGTACGTTTTGAACTGCAGGCACCCATTATAACACCCCTAGAGCCAAGCCCTCCAGGTGAATCCAGACATTTAACCAGACCTGTGTCAACAGACGCATTTTAGCATTTTCTGGCTTCTGTCAAATTTGTAAAGATAATGGGTCCTAATTGCTTCTTTGAGACTAAATCAATCTCAAATACTTTGCATTGCAACACTGTTACTGGAAAATCAAGCACTTCCTCA